AATCCATCAGTGAAATAGACTTAGAAGAAATCCATTGGTTTTTTGGAGCCCTATGGTTTAAATGACTAATAGATGTTACTGCTGTTTCCACAGCTGTTCGTGTGTCTTTCCAAGCAGCATCTGGGTCAGTCTCGTTCACAGAACTGCCTAGATGTGAACTCAGTTGTTTCTGGAATTCGCATTTGGCTTTCTTGTCCTCCAGTTCAATCCTAATGGGTCTACTTAGTGTACTTTTCCTGCGTCCAGTGAGGCGCAGACAAATGCGCGCTCGTATTAAAGAGTGATCAGAGTCTAAACAAGTATTCCAATACGAGCGACAATCTTCTATTGAGCCTCTCCAACGATGACTGATGACAATATGGCCTATTTGAGTCCATCGTTGGTTTGGTGAAGGTGGTCGCCATGTTAGACGATGTCTCTCCTTATGCTTAAAATTAGTGCTTGCTAAAAATAAACGATTGTCTGAGCATAGTTGCAACAGACGATAACCATTATCGGCTCGTTGAGCCGGGATACTAAAACACCCACCTAAATGTCTTTCTGTTTGATTCAAGCTGCCTACCTGGGCATTAAAGTCAGCCGCTACGACTACTATGTCTGAGCGTTTAGCTTTCTGAAGAAGCTCAGAGAGTTTTCTGCAAAAGTCATCTTTCACTTCATCATGGCTGCAGTCAGTGGGAGCGTAGGCAGAAACGACGAAAAGGCAACGACGTGTGTCCCTATCCTTCCGAGTTCTTACGGAGCCATTCAGCCGGACAGCACACAGGCGACTGTTAACGGGGATCCATTCTAGTAGTGCCTGTTCTGCCCTTGTACTTAATGCTATGCCTACACCTGCAAGTCCGCGAGAACTAGCCAACGGGTCGCCAGATACACGGAGGGTGTATTTCGTTGGCTGTCCATTTTGGTGAGGTGAGGTCAAGTGAATGACCACACTGGGATCCTGTATGCGTGTTTCGGAGACACAGCATACATCAATGGTACGAGATTCTAGGGTTTTAGCTAAGGAGGCCTGTTGACCGATTTGGCATAGGGTACGTACGTTGAAGGCTCCAATGTGTAGTTTGGAGCGAGGTTTTAGTAGACCTGGGACAGCGTTTCGCGCACTAGAATCGTTGGCCATGGTGACACTTGAGGAGGAAACCGGAAGAGGAAGTTTAGTGTTGAAAGTCAAGGTAGAAGGGATAGTAGGAATTGAAGAAGGAGATTGATTATGAACACAGTGGTCTTGAGTGCTGTTAGAGGTATGAGGGCTAGTATCACTTCCCGGCTGCCCACACCGTGGAAGGGTATTTCTTGAGGGACGTGAAAGAGAAGTTGGATTAGTGTTGGTCTTAACGACCTGAGAGCGTGACCGCAGTGCCCAAGGGATAACTGCTTGAGGCCGGTCTCGCACGGCCTCTTTGTGGGGGATTTCTGACGTGTTAGCTCCGTTCTTCAAAGGACCTTACCGCCGGAGAAGGAAATCCGTGGGATAAGGCGAGGTGTGCATTTTTAGGGTCGACCTTTTCTAACCCCACCCTCCTTGTGGGAAGACAGCATCGCTGTCATTCTGGTTGTCTGAAGGAAACACCTTACTGCTGTCACACCTCTGTACAGTCAGCAGTACGACTTCGCCTTCGGACCTTGGGATTGCTGCTTTTAGTCTTAGCGCTCTTCAACCGACCTGTCTGGCATGGTAGGACCTTGAGGAACGATTGTTCCAGCCAGTATAGCTCGATTGGATCATCACGATAGGCAAGCCCGACCACGTCAAGGTAGCAGCAACGGTCGGCAAAAGGACAAATCCTCTAGTGATAACCACAGTAGAATAAGTTTAACCAAGTGTCTAAAATATTTGCTTCAGTAATACCCCGACGTCTAAATGGAGCTCGTGAAGAGCAAATCTAAGAAAATCAGGCTTGTTTCAGACCTGGACATGGATGTACAGACCAAATAGTCGCCCTTCGGCAAATCCTGGAACATAAACATACCTTTTGACGTCCAACTATTATTATATTCCTCAACCTTAAGGCAGAGTCCGGCTTCGTCGGTCGTGGGGTTCTGTGGTAGTATGTCATTGAAAGATGTACCAAGGTGCATTAACCTTATACAGGTTCTCTACCCAAAGTCAGAGCTTATAGAGAACTGTCGTCGGAAATGGTTACTTCAAGTGGTGTTCGCCAGGGCTGTTCGCTTTCTCCCTTTTTATTTAAATTTGTTATAGACATATTTTTAGACACAACACTTTCATCGTCTGAGTTTCCAGGGACTGATCTTCCACTAGATTTAATGTTGACTTAGAATACGCAGATGATGTAGTTATGTTTGGTGAAGACGCTGAAAAAAAAGGCACCTTCTGACCACCTTAAGCAACAATTTGAGCGTGTATGGGGTGCCATCCATTCATTCCAAATGTAGCATGCTACTTCAGGATTGGCTCGCGTCACCACTTGAATTAGTGATAGAGAGTGAAGAATTTGGACGCATCGGTCACTTCGCTTAATTTGGGGGCCTCGTCAGTACTGACAGTCTGGTATCTGAAGAAATCTCGGCACGGATTCAAAGTTTCGATTGCTTTTTGCCAACTTGCGTCACTTGTGGCGCGTCTTCGATAGCTAATCTTTCGAATCACCTCCGGTTCGGTTACTACCTCTGCTATACTGGAATTTGGTCTGACCACTTCATCTGTCCTAATGCGGTACGGCAAGTTCAGCCGATGTACATACGTACAGGTTTTACGTTTAGACAGAGTGACTGACCGGCTGTCTAAACAGAAGTAGATGGAGAGGAACGTGGACCTGTGGTCTAGTGGCTGAGTTGACTTTTTTAACAACTAAACCCCCGATTCATAATGACTGGAAATAATAGATGGTTGGATTTTCTTACTTTGTATTGTGTATTCATATAAAACGCTTTTAAGCGATAATGAAATTCACGGATTCTGCCTTTAGATAAACAAGTTTAAAATACAACTTTATTGGGTGAATCTTAAACAATCAAGTCAAAGGAAGGTGACTACTACCCTGAGTTTCATTTGATAGAACAAAAACAACTGACGATGGATTAAAGACAAAGACCGGCCTATTTCTGGAATTTCGTTTCCCCCCATGTTTTCGAAAATCTGTGAAGAGCTACTAGAGTGGTACCACGCCTATAAACAATAATCTTTACATAGTTTATTGAGACCATACTTTACGATGACTGAGGATGAAATTTTTGCAATCTATGAATATGATATGGTTTAAAAATACCGATGAGATTACAAATTATGGACGAAAAAATCTATTCCAAGATAGCGACCCATGAACTTTTGAGCAAAATGCATTGATTCACTTGAGTATTTAGCATTTCGGCATGGCAACTAGAGTCAGTTTGCGACGAAAAGTCTAACTCAACTTTTTAACTTCAACTCCCGACTTTAAATCCTATTGCTAATTTATAACTTTCTTCAGACCTTAGTAAGCGATTGGGTTTTCCCAAGGTCGCCCTAGTATAACTTAAAAATCGTCTACAAATTAGCTTTAAAAAATACCTGCCTCATCCTTAAAAACAACCACAGACATTCTTCGAGGTGAATTTATGGATGAGAGCAAGTGGTGCAATCTGGCTTCCACAGCAAAAGTTAGTGGGATATGGTCTGAAACCACAAGCTATTAGTTAAACTTTGAATTCTTCAATCACCAGGACTACATAAATAAGCTCACAGATGATAACTCATCATTATACTAGTCTTTAGATGAGTTGATTAAAATTCTACAGGTTGATAGGACACAAGAATTTATGAGAAAATCATAAACGCTTTATGCCAGGACAGTTTTTGAAGTTTGAAGCTACTTTGTAAGTATGAGTTAGCAGTAAAAATGTTACCTTTCGCTAATGCTCATTATTGAATGACAGTTTTGACAGTTTTTTTTACATACTCCTATATGTAATTTTGATATCAGAAAAGCACAAACTGATAATGTTAACCCACTTAAATTACATTATGGTACAAAATAAATTGCCGAGTATTTTGTACATACTATAGATGAATCAAAAACCACATAGTCAAGGAAGTTGGTGAGATTCCGGTATGCAATATTACTACTGGTTCACGCTTTATTGAAATCACAAACCAATCTAAGTCGAAAAGCTATCTAAAACCTGGTTAGAGTACATAATTATGCTCGAGTTTGAATAGTGGTGAACAATATTGGGAATCATTTCTCCGTATTACGTTGCGGTATATATAAGTATAGAAACTGAACGCACGGGGACAATCAACCAGAAGTTCACTATGCACAGCCTTCCTGTGGAAGCATTTTAAATAAGTGTACCAGTCAGGACATTAATATCATTGTGTATTATACAGGTGCCCCAGATCATATCTGTTACTAATATAAGTACAGGTAACTGAAATATAGAGAACGGGATTAACTGATACACTACTTAGTATATATCCGCATATACAAAAAGGAGCAACGAAGAACCTTTTTATGTCAGGTTCCACGGAAGAACTTTTCTGAAGATTAAATTTAAGCTATCTCCCGTAAAGCCTGAAGCAAAACAGTGATATCACTCCATTAGTAAGTCATATGACTTCACCATGTGTTTGCCGAACGAAAAAGGAACATAACTAGGGGTAAAAAATTGACCAAAGAATTTACCTTCAAATATAATACCTGTCTTCTTTATGGTCCACAATTCAACGACCTCTTAGATTATTGATATCTGTACACTGCTAGTCCTAGAGGTCTAACAAAAATCACACAAAACTTCTAGCTTATTAAAGAAAAAAATTATGGCTGCTAGGTTTGAAACAAATAACCCTGCTCACAAACGTTGAGTACGCAGACTTTTAGCAAAATCATGGGTATATAGGCCTTTTTGAGCGTTGATGGTATCAAAATTCTCGATTAAGACATACTTAATACTGAAAACCGTGGGGGGAATGATGCAAATCCTGACTACATTTATTGAAGCCCAATTATTTTACCCAAGGAAGAAAAGAGACTTAAATTTATGACCTAATCACCTACCAAGTTACTCCGCTCCAATCGATGCTAGGACATATATTTTGTCTCTGAAGATTTAAAACAAACAGGAGAAAATAAATAACAATAAAACTGGCATTAAAAATAAAAGATTTGTTAAAATTTCTATAACTGAGTGGGATTTAAATATTTGAATTCAGTTTAATTCACCCAAGGTCAGTGCTGAATACGGAATTACCGAATTATTACGTTTCGAAGACCCCTCCCCTCTAAACTAAGAAGAAAGTGTGCCTAGATGTTTCCACAAAGTTTTTCACCTTACTTAAACGGCTTTCAGTGGATTTTTCCGTAATTGATTAATCAGTTACTTCACATATGAAAGCAAATAAATAAGAAAACATACTAAAATAATCCAGAATCTAAAACATCAAATTCTCAACGAATGTCTGTGTATTCATTGGTTAGTATTTATGTAGGTTGTTTATTCTACCCTATAGCGATGCCATTTCTAAGTACCAACCACTCCCAAATTCGAAATTGTGAATACATGTCAAGCCCTTCTGATGATTTCCAATGACCTAACATTAAGATAAAGTGAATGTAATGTCCAGTCAATAAGGCTGGTAGCCATATTACTATGTTGTCTGTAGGAATCTCTCAAACGAAGGCATAAAAAAGATGAATTCTGCAACTGCATGGTTAGTAAAATATCCCTGAAAACCTGTCAAATCATCCGTCAACCTGAACCTTTTCTAACTTAAATGGTAGATTATTGAAAAATGAGTGACCCGCTTAGCCACGCCAGGGGCATATAAAACGAATATATATTCCAATGACATGGTTTGGCCCAAACACCAGTAGTTTCACTTCTCCTCTTTACTTCAACTATACACCCATTCTAGTCAGATTCTATCTGTTCTCTAAATGTTTTGTAAAAGAAAATAGACTGAGTCAATGTAGACAATGATGCGACATCCACAAAGATCTTATTGATAAGGCATTTACATTATGACAAATCTACAATTCTAGCATCAGGTCTATCATTACTTACTTACGCATGTTATTCCCATTGGAGCACAGGCCGCCGACCAGCATTCTCCAACCCGCTCTATCCTGGGCCTTCCTTTCTAGTTCTACCCAGATGTTGTTCATTATTCTCATGTATATCTCCATTTATTGGCGTAATGCGTTATTTCGTATTCCTCTTTTCCTTTGGCGTTCAGGATTCCAAGTGAGGGCTTGTCTTGTAACACAGTTGGGTGATTTCCTCAATGTGTGTCCCATCCACTTCCAGTACTTCTTCCTGATTTCTTCCTCCGCTCGAATCTGGTTTGTTCTCTCCCAGAGCAGAATGTTGCTGATAGTGTCTGGCAAACGGATCCGAAGTATCTTGCGTAGACAACTGTTAATAAACACCTGTATCTTCTGGATAATGGATTTCGTAGTTCGCCACGTCCCTGCCCCATAGAGTAGAATTGTCCTGACATTTGTATTGACAATTCTGACTTTGTTGTTAGATGGCAGTTGTTTTGAGTTCCAGATGTTCTTCGATTGTAGATATGCTATCCTTGCTTTGCCGATCCACGCCTTCACATCTGCATCAGATCCACCGTGTTCATCAATAATAATAATATATTTCTGCAATAGCAGGTACACGCCATTTTTACTGGCATGATCTACAATTTACAACATATACTAGTTCACAGTATGCATCTCAAGCAAGGTTATTTAGTAATTATAATCTATAAAAGTTGATAGCAGTTCATTCGTTCGGATATAATGTGTTTTCATAAGAATAGTTTCCAAAGGGGCATGACTTCCACATTACATACCAGATTCAATCTCGACAAAATTGTATTAGGGTTTCGGTCGTGCTAAGTATTTATGTAATGCAGCTTTTTAAGTTTATAGTTGTTATAAAGTAGGCTTGTGGAGCGCCTGGTTCGAACTATGATCTTGGGAAAGCGCGTTCGTCGAGCTTGTTCCAGATGTCAGAAGTTACATAGCTTCACCCTCAGAGCAAGATTCTGAAGAGAAAAAAATAAAAATAAACCGAGGAGCAGCAAGGCATTTGGATATGAACGATAACCAATGCTTAACATTTATTAATGGAACAGATGGAGGTATTATAAATTATTGGATTAAATTGATACCAGCTCATATTGCAAGAGTGAAGTGTGATTAGGGGCTCCAGAGGAGAGAATGCAGTAATAAGGAACAATGAGTTGTGATATTTATCAAGGTGGAGTAGGTTTCAATGAAGGAGGGAAGTCAGGGTTGGAATGAGGAAGAACAGAGAGTGCATATAGAGAGTAGAGTGTTGAGTAAAATAACAACCATATCTTTTACAGTCTACTTTTTTCATCATCTGATGCCTGCCACACAGTTTTCATGTAAAAGTCAGAGTTAGCATGTCAAAGGCTGTCATAGTAGAATAGTTAATCCAGCACAAAAATTAGAAACATGAGTCTGAATGGTGAGTGTAGGAGAACAACCTCAGTATCACAGATTGATTGACTTGTTCTCAACCATAGAAAGCCTGATACAAACAAAATGTTCTGCCCCACAAACACGGATGGATTGAAATCATCGCCCTCACCATCAGTGCTTGCCGGTCAGTAACTCCACCCTCCCTCCTTTTGTGATGTTAGGTTAATTTACGCTTATTTTTTTGGATACATATCATAACTCACACAATGCTCTGTGTTTCACATCCTGTTGGAAAATACTATTTCTATAAGTACCATGTTACAAGCTTATCAGATAGTTACAAATTATGAACTGTGGGTAAGGCTGTGATGCAATGTTTTTATTGACTATATAGTAAAGTGTAGGTTACGAATCAGAGTATAGGCATTAGGAAGGGTATAGTGTAGGATATTTGTTTACCATAGTAGGCGGAAAAGTGGAGATTTATATTAGTTACAGATAAGGTAAGATAACGAGTGGTGAAATAATAATAATGGCAAGGCAACACAGTGTACAGATGAGTAAAAAGCTGATAAAGAATAGAAAGAAGTAACTCACAATAAATTCGCGCTGAGGTTATTTTGTTCTATGCTAACCGGTTGATGGGTGACAGGTTCTGTGGTTGTACGACCACTGGCAGTAGACAGTCGAGTGTGCGTTTCTTCTGACGTTTTAGGGTATTTATAAGCGTCGTTTAGCGACCGAGTATTGATAGGTCCAGTGAGTTGCCTGTCTACTTCAATTGAAAAGAATTAGGGAGGGGAAAGTATCTAATACAACTACAAGGTAGGAAAATAAGGCGATTCAGTCTATACATTTAGAGAGCCTATGATGTCTGTGTGGGACGTGGATGTGTACGTTTGCGCCAGATCTATGCAGGTGAGGGTTTGATCAATGAGTCTTGCAAACGTATGTAATTTGTCTGCCATGCGTATTTCAGAAGGCAGACTGTTCCATATCAATGCGTAGAAGGTGATCTCAGAATAGTGGAATTGTCGCCCTCAACATTTGGAGACCCCATAGCAATACTGTTGAGGGGAAGAGGGATAAAAAAGGATGAGGTGGTGTGTGTGCCAAATTAGAGGAGATCAGAGAGTTATAAAGGGTGGTTTGGCTCTGGTAGTATTTAGAATCGATAGGTGGGTCCCCAAGCAGGCCAACATTATGGTTGCCTTGTGTGCAGTGGGGTGTTCTACTCCTATTATGGGTAGTTAGGGGAGTTGTATGTTTCAAATAATTATTGCATGATTGTCTGACATTGTTGCCGGGGGGGTGTTCCTGTTGTGTGGGCTGTGCTGATTCCTGTAACCTGCATGTTTCAAGCTATATGGCTTATTGGCATCATGCGTAAGTGTGGTTTTTGTCGGGCGTAACCTCACGTTAGGATAAGGGGGTACTGCCAGTTCACTATGCTTGTTGTAGTGCATTCGACTACTATGAGTAGGTGCATGTTATGTATTAAGGGTGCTCGAGTACTTGTGGGTATCTAGAGAGAATTTAGTATTATTTTGCATTACAGTGTTTGGGCGGTTATAGCTATTAGAGCAATTGGTGTGAGGGTTGGGTCTTGGCTTTTTATCGGAGCCACAAGAACAGTGCTTTGAAACTGTAGAGGCATAGGTGGGTGTGCATTTTGATGTAGTTGAGTGTTTGGGCATAGGGTGAATGGTCACAGCTGCCTCATGTTTAGTTTTGTTATTAGGACTAGTAGCAGTATGCGAAGTGCCCCCGTTTTTGGGAGGGGTGGGGTATGTTGTTTTAGGGATAGCGCTATGGCCAACGTTGTAACTGCCGCTACCGCGTAGGCTGGGTTGATTGTTTTGCGCTTCACTGGAGTTTTGACGTTCGATAGCAGTCTTGTCATGGGTGATTCTAACTTTCTTAAAGGTTGGAATACGCCTCAGTAGACTGAATTTTAAGGAGGTGATTAGTTTCCATGATACTACCAAAGTGAAATAGAATGGGACAAGAGACTTTAGTCTGTGCTTTACGTAATCTTCTTGCTACACACCAAGATTGCGACAGTCCACATTCTTGTAGTAGAGTACTTTTAGCAAGCTTTAGGTTCGTACTATCAGGTACATTATACGCAATGACATTGTGCATACACTGGAGTATTTTCAGCACTTCAGCTGATATGTGATCAATTATTTTTTCAGTGTCTTTTATAATTTCGAGATCAGGATTTTCCGGAACACTGATTAGGTATTTATACGGTGATAGGTCTTGAATAGTTTGGGTGAGGCTAGATTTTATTTGACTGCTTTTAGAACTATCACTGGTGAGATTATTAGAGTTTATATCAACATCATTATGGTCTATATGGTTGCATACACATTTGTTGCAAGTGTCTACCGGGTGGTCATCTTGTGCGTACTTAGTTGGGGGATAAGTTATATGTGAGTAGTCGAGATCTACATTATTAGGCTGGCTACTGTAGGTGGGCTTATGTGCACTCTGTTTGCTGCTACACAGGATGACCGATTGTGGATTTATTGTGTGTATGAGGTCAACCGCACTGTCTAAATACCACTCACGTGTGATGAGTGGGCTGTCAAATGATGTCGGGCTAGGCGGTATGTTATTACTCATATTTATATCTACAAGCGAGATGCAAGGTAGTGACAGGTCATGCCCAAGTACATGGTGCACGTCTAGTGTAGCTGTAGGAAGATCAGAGCATGATGCAGACTGATCAGTGTGTTTAGAAAGCTTCACATTATTCGCGTGAGTGGTGGATTTAGATCTTTTGCACGTGCTATGAGCATCAGGAGAGATTATGTGTTTTTTAG